CTTCTTCTTCTTCTTCTTCTTCTTCTTCTTCTTCTTCTTCTTCTTCTCTCTTTACTTCCACCTTTCCCCAGTATCAGAGGAGCCTTCTCCAAAGAATTGGGCCATGATCCAACAATGATTTGTTTGTATGGTCCTTGCTATATTCTCTAACCTTGGTGTTTTTCTTGTATTCGTTCTGTTACCCAACCAGCTACCTAGCACTGATGAAGTTCCCTAGTTGGGTCATTAAACATCTATAAGGAAACAGTCAAACTCAAAGAATGCAAAGGAATCCACAGTCTTCCTCCCCATCCTCCTTCTCTGGTTCCCACCTCCTCCTCTCCGCAAAGCACACTTTCTTCTAGCACTGATAATGTTACCTAATTGGGTAATGAAATGTCTGCAAGGAAACAACCAAGTTCAGAGAGCACCAAGGAACCTACAGTCCTTCTCCTCCTCTTCCTCCCCCTCCTCTTTGCAAAACCCTGTTCCCTTCTTGCACGGATGATGTTGCCTAGTTGGGTCATTAAACGTCTGCAAGAAATCAACCATATTCACAGAGTGCCAAGGACCTCACAATTGAACCCTGAGCTACAAATATTATCTTCTATTAGTAATGATTTGTTTTCTTGACTATTCAAAGTCTTCGCAAGTCTTCTTGAGCACCCAATGTCAAAGGTATCGATGCTCTTCCCATCAACTTCTGGGTGTATATCACCTGTATGGTAGTCAATAACATCTCTGTCACTCTGTTTCACTCACTTTCTTTCTCTGACTTTGTTAACTGCATTTCCAATTATTTCCAATTGAGTTCAGGACAGAATCCAGCAAAGTGTGCAACTACAGAACCAATATTTCTATAAACAGTATTTCCTAAACTACATTAGAAACTAATACTTAGAAAGATAATTGCTGGTTATGCAAGAAGGACTTTTCATTCATTAGCAAAAACCATACCAACAATATGAATGGTTGCTTTTAACTGCAGAAACTTAGCTAAATATGGCTTATTCAAACAAACCTTGGTTTAATGTGCATTTTCAATGAGCCAAGCTATGATTGTCCCAAAAATGCTTTTTCAAAAGGCAACTGGGCTTTGCTTTTTCCCTGAAGACGTTTCACTTCTCATCCAAGAAGTTTCTTCAGGCCAGTTGCCTTTTGAAAAAGCATGTTGGGAAAAGCTTGGCTTAATAGTGGCTGCTTTGTGCACTGAGATCTATTTTCTTTGGCTAATAAACTTCAGTATGTGCTGTGTACATGGCAAAGCAATAATGGGATGCTTTCCGTGGGACAGAGCAGAATGTAGTCACTGTAGTTCTTAATCTTGGGTTTCGGTATCCAGTCCCAGAAGAGACTGGAGTGCCATCTGTCAGAAATGGTGTAGTCTCCTACTTGGAGACTAGATGACCTACAAAATCCCTTCCAACTCTGTTATTCTATTCTATTCTGTTCCGTTCCATATTTTCTATTCTATTCTATTCTACATTCCAATATCTATTCTGTTCTATTCCGTTCCATTCCATTCTATTTTGTTCTGTTCTACTCTACTTCCATTCCATATTTTCTATTCTATTCCTATTCTATTTTCTATTCCAATCTATACTATTTTAAACCACTATTTACACATCAATTTCTGGTACCAAGGAAACCAACAAACCACGATAGATCAAATCATGGTTTAATAAGAAGAGAAACAAATCACACTGAATAGGGCTACTAGGGCAACCTGCAGGCACAGCCTGGAAGCCTTTAAAACAACGACACTCTAACGGAGGGGCTCCTGGGCATGGGCAGAGCGCCTTTAATCCTAGCCAGCTCCAGGCCTAACATGGCCGCCGGCGCAGGCGACGGAGACTACATCTACCGTGAGGCTTCGGGCGGGCGGGCGGGCGGTGGGGGGGGGGCAGACGGAGTGGAGAGGGCGGTCCCGGTCCAGCTGTGCCCCGCCCCTCGTCGAGGGCGATTGGCTGGGGCCGGTTGTCGGTGGTGACGGCGGGACGCGGCGGGGGCGGAGCGTGTGTGCCGGCGGCGGTCTGGTCAGTCGGTGGCCGGGAGGCGGCGGCGGCGGAGCGGGAGCCGCGGCGCTGCTGGGGCCATGGGCTGCCGGGCGGGGGCCGCCGCCCCTCGCCGCGCCCGGTGACCACCCCGCCGGCCCGGGGCGAAGATGGCGGAGAGGTAGGAAAGACCCCCCCTCCCCGCCCCCTCCTGCCCCCCCTCCCCCCCAACGGGATGCCTCTGCAGCCCCCCCTCCTTTGGCTGGGGTCCCCTCCCCTAGCAGCCCTACCTCCCCTGCCCTTGCTCTGCCTGCTTTACCCCGCTTCCCATCATCCGCAGCCTCGGAACCCCATCGATCTCCTCCCCTCCTTCCCCCCACCTCGACTCGCCCTCCTCTCCAATTTTGCGGGGGGAGGGGGTGGCCTCCCCATCCTCCCCCCCCCCCCCCCGCCCCCTCCCCCCCCCTCGGCCGGCCCCCCCCCCGCCACAGCCCCACCCAGGAATATCCCTCCCTTGCACCCCAATATTTCCCCTCTCCCCGTCCCCCCCCCACTCGCAGCTGACCTGCAAAAGTGGGGAGAGGAAGGGCAGGACCCTTTAGGACAGGACCTTCTGGATGGCCCTGGGGTCCCCCCTTTCCTTCCTGCTCGGGAGGGGGACTCCATAGGTTGCTCCCCTATAGGACACCCTCCCACTCCATCTTTTGCTCCCTGGGGGTCATTCTGCAATACCCCTCCCCTCCATTTCTGGCCTCTTCCTCCTCCTCCTCCTCCTCCTCCTCCTCTCCTTGACCTTATCCCCCTCTCTTTCCCCCCGGGGGGGGGCTCTTTGGAGGGACCCCCGCCCTTGGGGGCATAGCACCTGCTTTCACCCATTCCTTTCCAGCAGGTGCATCTTCCTCCATCCCCCCCCCCTCTCTGCCAGATTGCTTTGCTTAGTGTCCTGGGGGGGGGAAGGGAAGGGCTTAAGGGGTGGGGTGGGGTTATTTAAGGGGTGTCTTCCACCCCACCCCCCCGTCAGAAATCGATTTTGAGGAGGGTGGAGGAGAATTGCAAGCAAGCCCTTCTGAAGGGTTGGCACGCTTTCCTGCTGGTTTGTGCGTGCGTGTGTGTATGTATGTATGTATGTATATGTATATGTATATATGTATATTGCAAGCCAGGATGGCTGTTGCCTGGTGGGGTGGGGGCTCTGGGGCTGAGGGGGTGTTTATTTGTGTGTGTGTGTGTGTGTGTGTGTGTGTGTAGAAGGGTCTTTTTCCTTGGGCCCCAGCCCGTGGGGGCTGAGGGGTGTGTAGGGCGGATGGAAGCTCTTGCGGAGATGTGCAAAAAGCATGGAGACTGCAGGCTGGAGGAAGGGTGGAGTGGGGGGTAGGAGGAATAGGAGGGGGGGGGGAAGGAAGGGGCTTGTTTGGTGGGGGGGGGGGGGGGGGGGGTTTTTGCCCCGCCGGGTTTTTTCCCCCCCCCCCCCCCATCGTTCTGAAGGACGACGCGGAGCTCCGTGCGCGAAAGGACCTCGGAGATGGTGCCACCGCTTCCGCACCCGGAGAGGCGGAATGTGGGCACCTGCCTTCTTGCGGCTTGGGTGGGCTGCAGCGTCCTGGTGGTGCAGTGAGAGGGGGGCAAAGGTTGGCATTTGAGGTGGTGTGTGTGTGTGTGTGTGTGTGTGTGTGCGTGTGTGTGTGTGGAGGCTTAGCCCTGAACACGCTTGGAGCACCCAAGGGCAAAGATTGGTATGTAGCTGGCACGTTTCCTTCCAAGGCGCCAGCTTTGCAAATCCCTCGTTCCTCGTTCTCTTGCTCTGATTTTTTGGGGTGGGGGTGGTGGTGGGGTAGGGAGGAAATCATGCTTGGCCCTATTAAACAACCCCCCCCCCAAAAAAAATACACCTCTCCCAGCAGACCGGGATCTGATCTTGGCTTGCCAGGTGGCTCGGGTGGCACTCCGTCCAATTGACACCCGTCTTACCTCTGGCCTGTCGGGAGCTTTTGGAAGGGGCCCAGCTGGATGGATGGCAACCTCGCCTGTTCTTGGCTCTCGGAGGCGGTGCACACATCCTGTGTGGTTGTGCGGAGAGAGTCTGGCTTCAATGGGGGCCCTGTTGTTGCTTTGAGTGTGAACGCGTAGCAAGATGCTGCTGCCTTGGTCTGCGTCTGTGCTGTCAGATGCTAACGTCCCCCCGGGGAGGCAGAGGGGTGGAATCGACACTCCTGCAGTTTGCATAGCTAGGGCTTAAATTGAGCAAGTATTGGCTGATTTTAGGGTTTTTTGGGGTGTGTGTGTGGGTGGGTTAGAGAATCTATCCCCATTCCAATTTTTCCCTTTACTGCATCAATTATTGCAAAAATGCAGCCCTCTCTGAACCGAAGAAACCGTTTACAGCTAGTTCTCAACTTATGACGGTTCGCTTAGTGATTGGCACTGAAAAAAAACAACGACCCGTGGTCCTTTTTCACCCTTATGACCATGGCTGCATCCCCAAGGTCACGCGACTTGTGTTCGGATGCTCGACAGCTGGTTCTCATTGACGACGGTTGACCATTTTTCACGCTTAACCTCACGTGCTCAAACGTATAGGCCCTTTGGCAAACTGACTCGTATTTGTGACGATTGCGGTGTCCCCGGGGAAGGGGTGTCACGCCATCCCCTTTTTGCGACCTCCCAACGAGCGAAGTTGATGGGGGAGCCGGATTTGCTTAACAACCGGGTTACGCACTGTCCAGATAGAATAGAGTAACCGAGTTGGAAGGGACCTTGGAGGTCATCTAGCCCAACCCCCCCCGCTCCAGCAGGGGAGTCGATTCCAAATATAAGCCTCTAGCTAGGATCGAACTCACAGTCCCCCCTGATTGTGAGGCAAGAGCTCTACCTCTGGTAGCGATTCACTTAACAACTGAGGCCCGACAGGTCATAAAAAGGGACAAACTTCACTTAACGGCCGTGTTGCTTAAGAATGGAGATTTTGGGCTCAGTTGTGGTCATAAGTAAAGGACTACCTGTATTAATAAAAAAAAAAAATTGAGACTGTCAAGCCACAGTTATTAAGTTGTCCGGATCTTTAGCGGATTTACTTTTTTTGCTGTGAGCGTCTGAGATTGGAGCGAAAGGAACGAGAGAGATTTAATGCTACCGATTTAGGGAGCGAGGAGGAGGCCGCGGCCTCAGGAAAGTTTTTCCTCCCAAGTTTTCGGGCTTCACGCAAAGCAGGTCACTTGATCGGGGGGTGGGGGTGGGGGTTGGCGGTCTCTGAAGCAAGGATTTGAATTAAAAAGGACCCCCCCACCCGTCCTTAAAAACGTAAAACTAAAGTTGGTGATTTGGGGCGCCTTGGATTTTTATGCCAGGATCAAAAAGACGGAGATTGAAAGGCGGCCCCCCTCTGCCATTTCATCACGGTGAACAATGTGTGTCTCATACAGGTAGTCCTCGAGTTACAATGGCTCGTTTAGTGACCACCCAGATTTACAATGGCACTGAAAAAAGTGACTTTTTTTCACACGACTGTTCCAGCATCCCCAAAATTCAGCCTCTTGACATATTGACTCGTATTTATGACGGCTGCAGTGTCCTGGAGGGCAGTGTTTATGAGACCCCCCCCTTTGGCGACCTTTTTTCAATGGAGAAGCCGCATTTACTTAACAGCACGGCGTTACTTAACAATGCAGAATTCGCTTAACGACGATGGCGAGAAAGGTCGTCAAAAGGGGCAAAGCTCACTTAACAACTGCCTCACTTTGCAAAAAAAAAAAATTGGGCTCAGTTGTGGTTGCAAGTCAAGGACCACCTGTACTGTGTTTAAACAGATGGTCCTCGACTTACAACAGTTCATTTAGTGTCCATTTTGAAGTTGCAACAGCACCAGAAGAAGTGACTTACGACCATTTTTCACACTTATGACTGTTGCACCATTTCCCGCGGTCATGTGATTTACATTTGTACACTTGGCAACTGACTCACATGATGGTTGCAGTGTCCCTGGGGAGGTCATGTGATCCCCTTTTGTGACAACCTGTCCAGCAAAGTCAATGGGCAAAACCAGATTCACTTAACGACTGTGTGACTAACTTAACAACCACGATGATTCACTTAGTGATGATGGCGAGAAAGCTTGTAAAATGGGGCAAAACTCATTTTGGGCTCAATTGAGGTCATAGGTTGAGGACTCCCTGTACTCGGTGTGTGTGTGTGTACAGAGAGTCCTCGACTTACAAGTGTTCATTTAGTGACCGTTCAAAGTTACAACACCCCTGAAAAAAGTGACTTATGACCATTTTTTCACACTTACGACCATTGTAGCATTCCCTGTGATCACATGATCAAAATCCAGACGCCTGGCAGCTGGCTCCTATTTATGACGGTCGCCGTGTCCCAGGGTCACCCTTTTGCAGCCTTCCTGGGGGATCCAGATTCACTTAGTGACCCATTCAACTCATTTAACAACGGCAGCAATCCGCTTAACGTAGGTGGCGAGAAAAGTTGGTAAGAGGTGGCCCAAAAGCTCGCTTCCCAACTCCCTTAGCGACGTCAATTCTGGGCTCAATTCTGCCGGTAAATTGAGGAAGTCCACTGTGTAACATTGGCAAATATGGCGGGCGGTTGATTGGCAGGAGAAAGCTCTGGACTCTCCAGGTTGGAAATGAAATGTGGAAAAGAGATCTTCATCCTTCAGTTGGAGACGATGATGTTGATGGTCCTTTCAGTCTTCTCCTAAATTATTATTTCTAATGATTTTTAAACCCCAGACCAGAGATCTCCAAACTTGGCACCTTTAAGACTTGTGGACTTCAACTCCCAGAAGTCCATAAGTCTCTTATTTTTACAATCAAGTTTTTTTTATTTCAATCTACACATACACAATACACTAACAGTGTCGCATCAATATATCATACATTTTAGTATAGGCCAACTTAATACCAAATATCTCATAATACACATATTCACATTAGATCATAATCCTTCATTGCTTATTTTCACCATTTCAATACTCTCTCCTAGTGTCAACCACCGTATCAGACATACCTAGTAATTTCATTATTCCATTTCCTCTCCAATTTGTTTTTTAAATAATAAAAGTCTCATTTGGCAAGCAGCGTTGTTCCAGGTTTCACATCTCAATACAAACATGACCATAGTTACCTATTCATTTTATTTGTTCAGTTTCATATCACATTACCCTTATTA